GAGAAAGTGATTTGGAGGAAGAGAGGAAGGAGAGGGAAAGGGAGAGAGAGAGACTGAGGAAGCAGCGGACGGAAGAAGTGTTTGAGATCTGAAATGAAATGGGAGTGAGACGGCTAGGGTTTGTAAAGTTAAGAAATTTTATAAAGCATTAAATATAAGAAACCTATAAATATATTACTGGTACAATTATAACAACACAAAGCCTACAGTTAAGTTGGCTAGCAGCACCTTACCCCAACCCGCAGGTCAGGGGTTCAAACCTTGACGCGGCCAACATGTTTTTTAGTATTTATATATGATTTTTTTTTTCGGTTCGGTTCGGTTTCCGGACCTTTAAAACCGAAACCGAACCAACCAGATTCGGTTCGGTTCGGTTTGGCAGTTTCGGTTCGGTTTTTTTCGGCCTCAGTTTTTTTCGGTTTGGTTTTCGATTTTTTGAACCCACCCCTAAAACACATTATGATGCTTCATTAACTTTTTCCAGCTTTGACAAATGCAAAACCGTTGTCAGTCATGACTTGGACAACATTATGATCTTCCACCTCCATGATTACATCCCTCAATAATTTGTAAATATACTTGTAGTTCTTTATATGGTATGAAGCATCAACATACTTTAAAAAAATTATCTTTCCTTTGGAGTATACCATGAAGTTTATGATAAACAATATGGTCGGGCCAGTCCATTCGTCACACATGATTGTGCAACCATTAGTTTCCCACTTTGACCTCAACTTGTTAACGTACTCGCAAATGTCTTTACACTCTATATCCAAATATTTGTTTCTTACCTTATAGGGAGTGGGAGGTTGTACTCCAACACCGGCCTGTTGACATCCCACTACCATATTTTTGAAATGATGTGATGATGTCTTCTCAGCAGGGACATTTTCATAGATAAAGAACTTGCTAATTAGACGCCCCATTCCCTCCTTCACATTACCTCCAGTGAAATAACTCCAAACAATCTTTTAACGTGCTTTGGATGACTTATATAAACTTGGGGCTATTGGTGGTGTTGGTTGTGATTCTCTAACACTGCCTCCCCGTCTCATTTGTGCACCACCACTTGTCCCGGAACCTTGTGCTCTATTAGGAATTTTATGAAGGTGTTCTCTTTCCCATGTTGACTGTTTGGAGGCACGTAATGCTTGTTTCAAACTGCGTCATTCTTCAGGTCCCATGTCATCATCACATTCGTCCTCATCGTCATCATCATCACTGTCAACTGCTTGGCCAATGACTTCTCCTCGTAGCCCAGCTCGAATATTTTCCATTCCATGTGTTATCTTTTCCTTCTGCTGTTTTTTATTTTTTAATAATGTGGTGATGAATGCCTTCACTTCTGGGGGGACATTATCACATCGTTGGACATTTTTTGCTGGATCTAATCCACTAAGATGGTATTTAAGTCGTGTCACTCCGCCACTCTTCATTACCCGACCACAATATTTGCAAATTGTGTCATGTTTGTTTCCGTCTATTGGGTCTCCATGTTCCCAAGTTGGATCACGTTTAGTAACTCCACTAGACATGTTAAACATACCTATATTTATTTTTCATGAAAATTAGACAAATTTTTTTTGGCCAAAAAATATAGTAGTGATGATGGTTATATAAGAGAACCTAAATAAAGTTATTATACAAAATAATTAAATACGAAGTAAAGAAAATGATTGTAAAAATTTAAGTAATTATAAAAATAATATGGAATAATAAAACCTAATATTAATGAATAATAATCCAATTTGATAATAATCCAATTTAATAATAATACAATTTAATGAATAATCCAATTTGATAATAATCCAATTTGATAATAAAAAAACCTAATATTAATGAATAATAATCCAATTTGATAATAAAACCTAATATTAATAAAATAATAAATAACATTAAACGTATTAAAATTATCCTAGGGAATAATTATATAACATTACTTAATTACTTAAAAAAATTAACATACAAGTCAACACAAATTTTTTTGTTGTTGTATAAATTACAATAATATAAATATAAGTTTGTAAACTTACCTTAAATATGGAACCTTTTGTGTTGAAGCTCTAGAATGAATCTGGAATTGCTCTGAAAGGGGTAAGGGAAGAAGAAGAAACGAAAATGTGTAATAGAGGTTTTAATTTTCGAAAGGTCAAAAAATGTGTGATGATCTGATACTCCACCTCTGAGAATGTGAAAGAATATCACAGTGGCATACGGTTTTGAATGAAACCACCATCCATGGTCTGAAATTGTACAAGTTATAATTGTAAAAGTTGTCTGGGTTTTGAATTATTTAGATTCTTTTCAATGAAATCGCCATTATTTTGTCCATGGTCTGAAATTGTCAAAAGTAATTGTAAAAGTTGTCAGCAACTTCCTGAGTGAGTCCTGACAGGAACCACACACACACACACACACACACACACACAGGCACGCCACCACACACGCACACAAACATCACACACACAGACATACAGAGACCTCAGTCTTTCTCTCTCGATCCTTTTCTCTTCTCTCCCTTCTCCATTCTCCCACACATACACACACAGAGATCTCTCGATCTCTCTTCTCCTTTCTCCCACACACACGCACAGAGACCTCAGTCTCTCGATCTTTCTCCCACATGGCCTTTTGCTCCTCCCTCGTCTTTCTCCTCGTCTGCGTCTTTCGCCTCGTCGGCGCCGTCTCTCTCTCTCAAAACTCTCATCTCTCTCCTTTCTCTCTGCCCCGAGACCCACATATACACACGCACACCATCGCACCTGCTTCAGGAAGACACCCACCTCGTCTTTCTCCCTCTCCTTCTCGTCTCTGCAACTCGGCGAACGCAGGAACCCTCCGGCAAGTTTCTTGAATTTCTTCGGTTAGGTAAGCTTCGGGTTTACCTCTTTCTGTTCTAGATCAAAGCTTAGATGTGAAATTGAAGTTCTATCTTGTGTTTTTGCAAGGTTTTTGGGATGAAATCGGCTCGGGAATAGGCACACCCATCTCCGGCGAGGTCGTGGGTGTCGACGAACTTTCCGAACACTTTTGACCGTTTCACGGCAAACGGAAGTTATAAAAGCATTCCTCTCATCTTCTATTTCATTTTGATACCTAGATCGGAGTCTAGGGTGCTCTTTTACAGTCGGCCGAAGCTGTAGAAGCTCCGGCGTTCTTATTCGATTTGCACAGATCCAAAATTTCGCAATATTATCGGTAGAAGCTCCGGCGTTCTTATCTGATTTGCACATATCCAAAATTTCGCAATATTATCGGTAATATCGTGATATTATCGATATTATCGTGATATTATTGATATTATCGATAATATCGTAATATTATGACGAAAACTAATTGGATAACCATTAAAATATCGGTAACGCGAAAAACCGATAATATCGGTGAAATATCGCCGATATTATCGGCATTTAAGACCTTGGGTATTATCATCCTTTTACAAAGACTCCATTGCAATTAAGTTAGTAACTGCACTCGTTAGGAGGGGGAAGAAATACCGAGTCTTGAAAGTCAAGGGGTTTTTCTTCTGTCTTGTAGGTTTGGCGATGGTTCTATTGAAGGTGCGAGCATTTCGTTCTACAGTTGACAATCTATGTACGTAATAGAATGATTGCTGAGAAGGTTCGAAGATGCTATTTCATCTTTGTAAGTGTAATCGCCTTTCATGTCTGCTTAGTAGGAAAAAAAATTCATTATGATCGGAACACGGATGGTACACTACTTGTTTTTATATAAGTGGAGGAAAATTGTATTTTTTTAATTTATTAACTTTAACACACATATCCCACTATTTGTATAGTGACATGTGGTGTACCACCTTGCGTTCCGGTCACATTGAAAAATCTCTAGCTTAGTAGAATCATCACAACGCCCTGAGGACATAGTCCAATATTGGGAGTGAGCCACATCATATCGTGTGTCCTTTATGCTTGCTTGTTTCTTAACTTACTTTGGTCATTGTTTTTGTTCATTCGACATATTTGGTGCATGTAGATTCATATATAACATGTAATATTTGAAAGATGCAGTGTACACTCTAGTTAGAATTTGTCTCTAAGTGGTTTTAAAATTACTAAATGCAGCTTTAACAATATGCTTATATGTTACAAAAAGAATTTGAAGTTCTATATATGTTTTTTTTTTCTTCAAAAAGTAGTTCAAGTATTTTTAATAAAGCACTTATACCTTTGATAAAAATGAGGCTTTTGATATGGTAACGACCATATATAGGAGTTCGAACTCATTTGTATGAGTTAGCATTATCTTGGAAAGATGACCATTGCATTATGAGGGCAGATGTCTTCTTGAATGGATTAAGTACTCTAGAGTGAGGTAATCATGGGAACTAGATAAGTCCCAAGGAAAAATCCCTAACAAGTGAAGATAAATGGAACATATCTGTAGAATTTCTGGTTTAAAGTTTTCATATGTATTTCATGTGTATTGGTACAAGAGGGAGACCGGATATATATGAGAAGAGGGAGGGAAAGCTGCTATATGCAGCCGACAAGAAATCAGGAAAATGGGGAGAAAGTAGTAGGAAGAAAGAGGAAAATAAAGCTGCTGCAAGCAGCCAACAAGAAAATAAAAAAATAAGGAATAAAGCTGCCAACCTATTTGCCAACCTATCTAAACTTAACTTATGCAAGTCTACTCCCTTAAATCAAGGGAAAGGTATTACAATGACACTCAACAAAAAGGTATTACAATGACACTCAACAACACTCCCCCTCAAGCTGGATCGAGTAGATTAATCGAGCCAAGCTTGCCCAAAAAACGATGAAATGGAGTAGATGTCAGAGCCTTGGTAAAGAGATCTGCCAGTTGATCATTGCTTCGCGTGAAGATGGTCTGAATGACTTGAGTTTGCACTTGAGATCTAACAAAATGACAGTCCACTTCAATGTGTTTCGTTCTTTCATGGAACACAGGGTTAGCAGCGATGTGCATGGCTGCTTGATTATCGCACATAAGAGACATAAGAGTAGTGCTAGTAAACCCTAAGTCTGAAAGAAGCCCTTTAAGCCATATAAGTTCACATGTTGTTTCTTGCTCTTCCAAGTGACAAGATTTCCACCAACAAACGTGCAATAACCCGTGGTAGATTTCCTATCAAGAGAATTCCCTGCCCAATCTACATCAGTGTAGCCACTGATGGCAGTGGAGTTGTTGTTACGCATGATGATTCCCTGCCCTATCGAACCCTTGAGATAACGCAGAACTCTCTTAACCATGTTAAGATGATCAACTGTAGGAGAATGCATAAATTGGCTTACCAGGCTCACTGCATATGTGATATCCAGACGTGTGATGGTGAGATATATAAGTTTGCCCACCAATCGTTGATAGTAACTCACATTATGCATGGCTTCTCCATCTGTGTTGAGCCTTAGTTTAGAATCCACGGGAGTGATGGCAGGTTTGCAATCAAGCATTTTTGCTTCCTGAAGAAGATCCAATACATATTTCCGTTGATGTAGAAATAGCCCCTTTGAAGAGGTTGCCATTTCTATGCCCAAAAAATACTTTAGTTTCCCCAGATCTTTGATAGCAAATGTTTGGCATATCGAGACTTTTAGTGCCTCAATTTCAGCAACACTATCTCCTGTGATGATGAGATCGTCTACATAGATGAGCACCACCAATTTCCCACTGGTGCCAGTTCTTACAAACAATGAGGAATCAGTATTACTTCGTAGGAATCCAGCCTTCTCTAGAACTGAACTGAGCTTGGCATACCAAGCTCTTGGGGATTGTTTCAATCCATAGATTGCCTTGTGTAGCTTACAAACCATGTTGCCTTTAATACCATCAAAACCTGGAGGAGGCTGCATATACACTTCTTCTTGTAACTCTCATTGAAGGAAAGCATTCTTCACATCCATTTGATAAAGAGTCCACCCATAATTGATTGCAACTGAGAGTAGAACCCTCACTGAATTCATCTTGGCCACATGAGCAAATGTTTCCTTGTAATCTACCCCAAAGGTTTGGGTGAAACCTCGAGCAACAAGCCTGGCCTTGTGTCTCTCGATAGAACCATCAGCCTTGAATTTAATCTTGTAAATCCAACGACTTCCAACAGCCTTTTTTCCTGGTGGTAGTTGAACCAAGCTCCAAGTTTTATTTTCTTCTAGAGCACTAAGCTCATCTGCCATGGCTTGTTTCCATTGTGGGAGGAGAAAAGCCTCTTGAAAGCTTCTAGGTTCATTGTGTTTATCAATTTCACAGAGAAATGTAGCATGAGATGTTGAGAACTTACCAAGACTGATGTTTTCACTGATAGGATACCGTGAGGCATAAGTAACATAGTCCTGCAGCCTAGTTGGAGGTTTTCTAGTTCGATGAGGATTTCTTCTAAGCCCTTGAGGCTCTGTAGGAGATTGTGAATTATCAGAATGAGACTCCTCGTCTCTCTCATTGGCCGGGATACTACTATCAGTGATTGAGTCAGTTTGTATTTCTTCAATATCTGGTATCACAGTAACTGAACTCTCTTCCAATACTGGATTATTAATGTTCTGAGGAAGTGGAAAGATTTCAAACAGTTCATCCCCCTGACTTGCAGTATTTCCCTTGTGAGTAAAATAAGGACAATCTTCTTCAAACTTCACATCCCTTGACACAACACATTTCTTAGTGGTTGGATTGTAGCACTTGTATCCCTTTTGGGTGGAAGAATACCCCACAAACACACACTTGGTTGCCCTGGCATCTAATTTGTCACGGTTCAAGGCTTGAATGTAAACAAAGCAAACACATCCAAATACCTTGAGGTGTATCAAATTAATTTTCCTACCCTTGAGTACTTCATAGGGAGATGTAAACCCTAACACACGACTTGGGAGTCGGTTGATGAGGTAGGTGGCAGTGAGGATAGCAAATGACCAAAATTTAAACCCTAACACACGACTTGGGAATCGGTTGATGAGGTAGGTGGCAGTGAGGATAGCAAATGACCAAAATTTCTTTGGAACATGCATATGAAACATGAGGGCACGAGTCTTCTCCAAGATATCTCTATTTTTTCTCTCGGCTACTCCATTTTGTTGGGGAGTCCCTACACAGCTGGTTTGATGTATTATGCCCTGAGAACTTATGTATTGAAGCATGTTGTTGGATAGAAATTCAGTGCCATTATCAGATCTTAACACCTTAATGTCTGATTGAAATTGTGTCTTAACATGCATATGAAAATCTTTGAAAATAGTTTGAACTTCACTATTTGATTTCATAAGGTACACAAAACTCATTCGAGAGAAGTCATCGATAAATAGAACAAAGTACTTGAACCCTTCTATTGATTCAGTTGTTGGTCCCCATACATCGGTGTGCATCATTTCAAAGAGTTTACTTGTCCTAGACATTGAATTATCAAAAGGTAGTCTAGTAAACTTAGAAAGTTGACAAGTATCACAAGTAACATGATTTTTACAAAAATTTGGAAATAATTTAGACAAGATAACTTCAGAGGGATGAGCTAATCTCTTATGCCAAAGTTGGTTTTCATCTACGGACTTTGATTGAGCTTGAAGGGCCTGAGTAAAACAGGTATTCTTGCACAGGTAGTAAAGTCCATTTATAAAGACCCCTTCACCAATCATCTTCATGGTGAGAACATCCTGAAACATCACATTATCTGGTGAGAAAATGGCACGGCAATTTAGGGTGTTTGTGATCTTTCCAATTGACAGAAGTTGGAAAGGAAAGGTTGGTACATATAAGGCAGTGGAAGGTGTTTTGTGTGAGAGTAAGTTTATTTCTCCTTTTCCCAAAACTAAGACATTTTTTCCATTTGCAATAGACACATGTGAGGGACTTAAAAAACGTTTAAAATGATTCAAATTTGTGACTTTGTTTGTCATATGATCTGTGGCTCCTGAATCAATTACCCAACAATCATTTTCAGTACTAGTTAATAGGGCAGTAGTGAAAGCTTTGAGTATACCTGGTGCTTCATCCTTTGGGACTTTCTCATTTCCAGCAAGAAAGCCGGCAAACTATCCCAACATGGCTGTATGACTGCTCTTTTCATTGCCTCGAGCTTGTGAACCTCCTTCGTGTTCCTTACTTTGAAGGTAAGCTGCAAACTCATTGATAAGTGACAATGGGTTGGTAGTGAACTCCATGGATCCTTGTGAGATAGTAGAGGGATGAGCATTGGCAAGTTGAGCCTTGTAGGAGGTTGAAATTGTTGTGAGGACCTTGGTATCATTTTTCCATCTTTGCTGAACTTAGGCTTGAGTTCAGGATGAAGTTCCCAACACTTGTCTTCCACATGACCAACGAAATTGCAATATTTGCATTTCAGGTGTGTATTTTTACCCTTGTACACTTTTGCCTCTGAGGTCTTGTAGTTTGAGGCATATGCACGAGTCTCAGTCAATCTCGAGTTATGCTCAGCATTCATCACTTTCTTTCTTGCTTCTTCTCGTTGGATAGTTGCACAGACATTGTTGAACGTGGGAAGCTCCTGACTCATCAAGATGTGACTCCTTAGATCCTCGTACTCGGAGTTCAAACTCCCCAACAGTTGGTAGATTTTGTCTTCCTCGGCTCGTTTAAGGAGAATGATAGGATATGTGGTATGTGGAAGGTATACATCCAACTCATTCCATATGGCTTTGAGGCTTCCAAGATGTTGAACAAATGCTTTCCCTTCTTGTTGGGCACTGGCTATGTCCTTCTTAAGTTGAAAGACACGTGCATAGTTGTTTTGATTTCCATACATATCTTGCAATGCTTTCCAAAGCTCACATGAAGAATTGTAGTAGCTAAAAATCTCAGCAACATGTTTCTCCATGGTGTTGAGCAGCAAAGACATGACAAGTTGATCCTTGCAAAGCCATGCACCGTATGAAGGGGAGGAGATGTCTGGAGCTTCCACACTTCCATTTACAAATCCTAATTTCCCTTTGCCTCCGAGAGCTAGTGACACAGCTCGAGACCAAGGGAGATAATTAAACTCATTCAAGAGAACTGAACACAAACGTTGATTGGTGTTAACCTCGACGTCTGAGAAATTTGAAAGAGAGGCATGCGAGATGTCACCCTCAATGTTTATTGAATCTTCTTCAGCCATGGCTTACGATTGAAAGAAAGATGCAGCGGGAAGAATGGCCAGAGACAGGTTACAAAACCTGCTCTGATACCATATAGAATTTCTGGTTTAAAGTTTTCATATGTATTTCATGTGTATTGGTACAAGAGGGAGACCGGATATATATGAGAAGAGGGAGGGAAAGCTGCTATATGCAGCCGACAAGAAATCAGGAAAATGGGGAGAAAGTAGTAGGAAGAAAGAGGAAAATAAAGCTGCTGCAAGTAGCCAACAAGAAAATAAAAAAATAAGGAATAAAGCTGCCAACCTATCTAAACTTAACTTATGCAAGTCTACTCCCTTAAATCAAGGGAAAGGTATTACAATGACACTCAACAAAAAGGTATTACAATGACACTCAACAACAATATCTTTATAGTTAACCTACTTGTTAAGTATGAAGAATGATATGTTAATAGCATTGAAAGCAGTTACAATATGAGGGAATTGTGGGGGTGTAGCTTAGTTATGTTTGAGTGTTTATTTATCCTTAATTAAGAAGAACAGAAAACGTAATTTTCTTTTTGAAAGAGAGAATAAAAATATAGTTGATTAGTTCACTAATTATCTCATAGAATTTTTTTGGCCAAAATAGAATGAGTAATGTTAAGGTATTGAAAGAATAGAGAATTTCCTACAAATATCTTAAATGTGGGGGATTTCGCAAGTGTTAGCAAATTACTTAGTAAGTCCCAATTATGTTTGGAAGACTTAACTTTAGAAAACAACTACTCTTGGAAGAAATTAATTTCTATGCATGGATATGAAGTTTGTGATGGTCATATGTTACAGATAGTCAACCTAGTGGATCATCGAGGGAAATAAGTTAAAAACCCGTAATTAGAGTAGTCATATATATATAGTGGAAACCCAATCTAGTTGATTGGAGATTCAAAGATCTAGGATAAAAAAGAGACAACTGAATTATGACAACTTGGAATAACACTGCAAAGATCTGTATACTCTCATCCCCATGTCCCTTGATGATAACAATGTTGTCTGCCATCAAGATTAGATTAAGTTTTATGCTTTTAGTGATTCCTATAGCTTGGAATACTTAGAGGTCCAAGTGGGGAAATACTCTTAATGGGAAGTCACCTCTCTTAAGTCAGGAATGGAGCCGTTTCTATGAGAATTTTCTAAAGGGCTTAATTCTCTAGAGCACTCATCATAAAAGTGCAACCACGAGGTGTTAGGAAATTTATTGTGTGATTAACATTGTCTTGGTTTACACAAATACGCGTCCATTAATTAACCAAGTAAATTCGATAGTAACTCATTACGAAAGGTTCAAGGCCAAAAGCTACCTATCCTGATGCGGTATCTTTCATTAATGAATTATTTCCAATGCCTGCATTGTCATTTGCATAGTGTTGAGTTCATTTCCATTCATGTGAAGGGTTGTTGGAAAATTCAATTCATAGTGAATTTGATTGTTTTATTTGAATGGAAAATATATATGATGTGTTGTGATTTCACGAACAGGTTGTAGGTGCAACCCTTGCCTTTTAATTAAAGATATGCAATTATTAACTCTTCAAGGAAATACATAACTATTATGAAGAGTCACTTCCACATTTATCTAAAGACCTCATCACACTGAGTCATTACAAGTGCATATGAGTTAGATCATGCTTAGAGATTAAGTGAGTCTGAGAGAGTTTAACACAATCGTAATTTAATGGAACCTTGTGATGTGGAGTGGTATTATTACAAAGACGTGATCGTTGTATC